CTCCTCCAGCAACCTCTGAAGGAGCTGTGCCAAGAACCAGGACCCCATGGGCTGGGGATGTAGCTTAGTGGTTCCACTGACTGCCTTGCAAGTGCAAGGTCCTGAGTTCAATCTCCGGTACCAAAAAAAACAAAACAGGACCCCAGCCACACCACCACCCAGCCGAGCCAGGAGAGCCAGGGAGGCCTGAGAACAGGAGGCCTACAGGGTAGGGGCACCCCCAATGGTGGAAAAGGGCAGAGCTCAGTAAAAGGAGGTTACGCAGGTGGGGTGGGAGGGCAGCACCGTGGTAACCCTGGGGAGAGGACCGAGAAAGGGAGGCCTTCAGTGCCAGCTCACCCTCCTATGCTCCAGGTCCTGCTGGGACCTTCCTCTGGCAAACCCTGCACACTGGGGTGAGGAACACAGGGCCGGCAGGGGCTACACCTTCTTGCCTTGCCATGGGGAGGATCCAGGGTGGTGACTGGCTGCCTCCAAGGGCCCAGGACAGCACACCTTTACTGTCCACGTGCCTGAGCTCCAGGGTAGAACGCTCAGGAGGGTATTGTAAGGGAAGAAGCCGAAAGAGCAGGAGGCTGAGCCCGGAACCAAGAGGGTCCAGGGGAGTGTGCAGGCTTGGTGGCAGGAAGGTGTGGCTTCCAGCTTCCCCTCCAGCCTGGGGAGACCAGGGTCCGAGGTAGGAACACAGGGACAGAGTTCACTCCAGAGGATCCCCAACCCCCATGACTATGTGAAGAAGGGCTTGGGACACCCCTTAGGTTCACTGGGAGGAAGGGGCAGGATCCAGGGGCCAAGGGCAAGCGCAGGGTTCCTGGGTTTGGGGAGACATTCAGGGCACCGCTGTTCATACACAGGGCCTTCGGGTGTGACCAAGTTCGGGTGTGCCATGGGAGAGCTGCAGGGGTTAGGCAGGGTCTAGGGAGCCTACAGGGATTCAGACACAAGGGTGACCTGCAGGGTGGGGAGGGCATGGCCAGAAGAAGGGCTGTCCTGTCACCAGCTGGAAAAGAAACTGGGGTGTGGGGGCTGCAGTGGCAGGGGAGGCTCGGAAGCACTGCCTTGGCCAGGGCAGCGGGCAGCAGCACACCCAGGTCCTGGCATCACCAGCCCACCGCACAGACCATGGCACAGGTGGGGGCTGGGGCTCAGAGAGAGAGGCACAGGTGGCAGCCACCCTGTCTTAGTCACTTTCTCATCTCCAGGACACAGGACCCAACTCCAGCGCCTTCGGGAGGAGGGTGGATTTGGGCTCCTCCTCCCCTTGGTAGCCAGTGGCTCCGAGGCAGGACAGCAGGGCACAGGGGCACGGGGGCAGGGGCAGAGCTGCACACATGGTGGGCAGACCCTGCTGTAACTCTGCCGGCCTGAGGGACCCGGGGTCAGAAGGCGGGGTCAGCTGGGGTGGCAGCAGGGACCACTGCTGTGCATCACTGTGGCCACGAGGCCCAGGGGTCTCTGTCCCATGTGTGGGCGGTGGGGAGAGGAGGCTGGGCTGCCTCCAGAAGGTGCGGGGCTGCCGGGCGGATCTGGGGGTGCGGGGTGATTCCGGGTGCGCGGCAGCCGCACGTGAGCCTGTGCGTGGGAGGAGGGGAGGATGTGGGTGGGCGGGAGCTAATTAGCAGAGCTGGTCTCCATGCGGGCCTGGATGGCTGCCCGCGTCTGGCAGCCTCATCTCTGCCGACACCAACCCCCCAGTCTTTCTGTGCCCCCCCATCTGCCCAGCACCCTTAGCAGCCAGCAGGGTAGGCCATGCAGGGTCCCCAGCACCACTCCAGGCTGGTCTCGACCACCCAGACGGCCTGAGGGGAGCGTGGCTTCTCTCCAAGTTTCCCACATTCTGGACCCCACAGGACCAGGGCCAGCCGCCCATCCATCAGAATCCACATACACCGCTCAGGGCCTGGAAAGGGCACGGGTCTCAGAGCAGGTGGAAAGGGCCAGTTCTCCAGTCCACCCATCCACCCACAGGCTCTGCTTGTGCTCTTCCTGGGTGCCCAAGCCCCTGGGCAGCCTGGGGCAGTAGCTGGGCTAGCTCCTCCTCCATCTTCATCTGGGCTGCCAGGTCTCCTAACCTGGAGGAGGAAGAGGGAGAGGAAGAGCTACCCCAGCCTGGCGGGCGCGCCCACTGGCCTGGGGGACAGAGCAGGGCTCAGTGCTGCAAGCAGCAGGGAATGACGGATGGTCTTGACTCTGCTCCCATTTGTCCTGCATGAGGCCCTGTGACCCCAGGAGAGACCCAGGCCACTCTGGGACCTGGGAAAGGGCTCATGCTACCTCCCTTGACCCTTCCATCCCTTTCACCCGCTCTACTGAATATCAGTTCAATAACTGCTGCAGACAAGAAGCCGATCTCTTCTCGGCCTTTTGGCTAAGATCAAGTGAAGACAAGAAGCCGAGAGGCCTCCCCTCCCTCTGTCATTGCTCTGCCCCTGCCCATCTGTGCCCCACACCTAGCTCCCCGATCCAGGGTCCCAGCCAGCCATGGATTTTCTCAGCCCTGTAGAAAGCCCTACTTGGGGCCAGAGCGTCCCCAAGCGCACCACTGACCCTCAGTCTCGTGACCCCTCATCCACACAGCCACCTGCAGTCATCCTACAGGTCATGTGCAGATGAGGCAGGCAGCAGCCAAGAGAGGATACAGGAAGTGCACACCGCACCCTCCAGGCTATCCCCAACCCACCACAGGGCTAAGGGAACCCAGGGGCTCAGCCATGGCCACAGGTGTAGCGCAGAAGCACTAGGCTTGGAATACAGCTCTCCCGCTCCATAGTGTGCTGTCCTGGAAGCCAGTGGGCACCAAAAGCCCTGGCCCCTCCATCTGTGAGGTCAAACCCAACCCACAGGCTGGGAAGGGGTGCTGGAGGTATAGGCAAGGAAAGAGAGTCAAGAGAAAGGGGAGAGGGCCTGGGCGGAACAGGCAGTAACAGACATAGGCCTGAAGGAGGAGGCTGGAGGCTCAGAACCAAACATAGGTGACAAGATGGGTGCAGCATCCAGGAGAAATGTCAGGGGCATCAAGGTGAGCCTGACATCAGGAGCACCAGCAGGCTCCCCTGGGGTGCAGGCCTCTGAGTTTTCCCAGTCAATGTTCTCTGAAGGAATTTCAAAGTCAGACGCAACCACTGCCTTACCGCAGCAAGTGTGGGAGAGGAAGCAAAGTGGTCAGAAGGAAGAAGAGTCCCCTGCGATTCCTCTCCAGGCAACACAGGCAGAGAGGCTCTGCTTCGACATCTGGGAACACTACTAAGAGGACTGGGCCCTTTCCTGCCTTGTGCCTGGGACACAGCTGGGCCGGAAGAGTGGCCAGAAGAGACAGCCGCCAGGCCGGCCTCTGGAGTCCAAGCTCCCACCCACCCCACAGCAAACATCCACTAAGTGGCTACTGTGTGCCGGACCATGGTGCGGGGGTGACTCCTGGTGGGGGCGGGTGGAGCAGTGGGGATGCTGAGGGTCCCTGAAAGGGGCACTAACCCCACTCACTGGCACTGCATGGCAAACCTTCCAAAGGCAGGGCCAAGCCCAGGTCCCTAAGATGGGTGTGTCCTGGCTCTCTGTAGGCTCTGATGCCACCACAAGCACCCTGTGAGAGGGCACAGAGGAGGAAGAGGAGGCAGAGCAGGGATTGACCACGAAATCTCCAGCCAGGGGCCGCGGTCAGCTCAGAGAGGGAGAGGGAGAAGGGGCTGCCCCAACCCCACACTGTGAGCCAGGGACAAGGGCTGCAGACATCAGGCCTCTGATGATGAGGGAATGCCTCGCATAGTGGTACGCAAAATGGAGGGTGGATAGATAGACAAGCAGAAGGATAGATGGAAGGACGGATGGATGGATGGATGGACAGATGGATGGAGGATAGATGGACAGATGGATAGATGGAAGATGGATGGATGAACAGATGGACAGATGGATGGATGGATGGAAGATTGGATGGATGGAAGGACAGATGGATGGAGGATGGATAGATGGACAGAGGACAAATGGACAGACAAATAGATGGAAGGATGGATGGATGGATGGGATAATTTGTTGCAGCCACCATATTTGCCCAAGCTACCCAGAGTAGCAGAACCGTGGGCTGTCTCTGGGCAGACGGAGAGACAGTGATGGAGCCAGGCCACACTGAAGTCAGCAGAGAGCTGTGAGGTGGCCCACAGAGCCCCAGGAGTCAGTGGTGGAGAGAACGGAGCCAATGCTTCAGTTCAAGACCAAAAGCAAGGAATGCCAGTGTCACAGCTGGAAAATAGTCCTAGGGGACTCACTCCCTCTGGGCCTTCTTGTCCTCTGTGGCTCACTGGATGAGGCCTATCCTGGGCGGCTGCCCAGGCCAGCACCCCCACTCTGAACCCCACCCTGAGCACTGGCACCCACACACCTGGAACAGCTTTGGGCCCAGATCGGCACCCTATGCCCAAGTCAGGGGGACGCATGACAAGAGGCAGGCAACAGTGCAAGGAGACCAGTGAGCCCTGTGTTGGCTTGGTCCTGAGGGCAGCAGAGCCGCAGGAAAGGGGTGCAGGCAGGTCCCGGTGCAGGCATCGGGGGTCACAGGCCCCGCCCTGCAGGTGTCACCCACAGTGCCAAGCCTCCCCATCTCTGCCCACCCTGGACAGGCGGGACGGGGCCAGCTTGGTTACAAGTCCCTGCACTGGGCCCTGGGGGACCAATGTCAGCCACCGCCCCAGTCAAGTTCCACCCCCACTGGAGGGGACCAGCCAGGTGGGGGCCGGGGCAGCAGCGTTCTTCCTCCTGCAGGGACCCTGCCTCACCTCAGCGGTAATAAGCTAATTTTCCCTTCTAAACAGGGCACAATCAAACTCAGCTCCACAGCCTCATTTCCAGGCAACTTTACTCATTGTTATTTTTATTCCAAGAATTCCTTGGCATTTTCCAGGAGCACTGAAGTGTTTCATAGCTGCCTGAGTAACAATATGCCCTCTTTTGAGAAAACAGAGGGGCGAGACCCTCAGCTAAGAGCCCAGTGGAAGATAGAGAGGCACCTGGCTGTGGTGTCACACACCCAGGCAGGGGACAGAGGACAGAGAGGGCAGCTCGAGAGGGCATGGGATCGCTGCCCAGGCCACACGTGGCAGGCACAGGGGCTCCCAGGCAAGCAGGTTAGATGGGCAGAGGTGGTAGCCAGGCTGAGTGGCAGGATCAGCTAGCCACCGGGTCCATCAGCACAGGGTGGGGTGCTGGGAACGTGGGGTGCGCAATGGGCCTGTGGGGTTCAAGACCTGCAGGGAAGAGAGAGGCTGGGCAAGAGCAGGGCCCCTCCACATGCCGTTCCACAGCCCCGCATCCCCTGGCAGCGCCTCTGCCACCTGTGTGGGAAAGAGGCTCGCGTGCCGGGCACTGTCAGCCCCGCAGCCCACGCGGTCAGAGGAGAGTGAGCAGGAGCCGGCCTGCGTCCCTCCTCCATGGTACTGAAGTCATTAAACGGCTCTTTTTATAAGAGTCATTTGACATTCAGGAAGTCTTTTGATGCCTTTCAAAAGAAAGCTTTTAATAAGTGTTTCTAATCCTTTTCTCTTACAAACAGGAAGCTGCACTGCGCCAGCCCTGAACACCAGAAGGTCCACATTTGGCTAACGAGGCCAAAACCCTGGCTCCCTGGGCCATTAAGCCCCCAGCCTGGGCCATGGTTGCTGGTCAGGTGGAAGTGCTGGGCACAGACCATACCCAAGCCATCTGTGCCACTCCATGGGTCCCCACGGGCCCCTCTTGGGCCATGAGTCCCCAAAGAGCCCCTACCACCCTGGAGCCTTTGCTGCCTGGATGGAAGCCTCAGGCCCAGGCTGGGGTCTGCTCGTCTCCTACTCTTCCTGCCTCTCACTCCCAAACCTCAAAGCTCCATGGTTCCCTGACCACTCTGCACCTCCACTGTGTCACAGCAAACTCCTCGTTCCTCGGTGCCCTTCCTTTATGGGAGCGCCCCTTGGGGGGTGGAAGGGGACCCTGCAGGGGCAGGGCCTGGAAGTCCACCAGAGCAAGTGGGGAGGAAGGCATCACCCCTGACAACAGGGACACAGCGAGCACACCAACCCAGTCTTGGGCAATCCTCACCACAGAGGAGCCGGGGGCATAGAGTGGGGGTCCAAGCCCAAAGGCCCAGTGGCTCACAGTGCCTTTGGCAGAGAGTGGCATGCCATGTGGTCTGCCCGGGATGCTCTGATGGAGATGCCTGGGAGAGGCTGGGCTAGGGAAGGGCAGCAGAAGGGGTGGCTGTGAGGGCCCGAGTCCCACCCTGGGGCTCAGGCAGGCAGCCAGGCCAAGTGAGCAGGGCCCCAAATCCAGGGCCAAGGCCATTGCCCCAAGCAGGAGAAGGGAAGAGAAGGAACCAGAGTGGGAGACAGTGAGCACCCAGTCTAGGCCAAAGACGGAGGGCCCAGCTTGACTTGGACAGGCCCCAGGCCTAAGAAGAGCCAGGCAGCAAAGCACAGGGCAGGGTGCATAGCTGGGACCACACCCAGAGCCCCCAGCCCCTCCAGGCTCTGCAGGCTTGGTCCTACCTCACTCACGCATGCGCACCAACTGAAAGCAGAATCTAAGACCCAGAAAGGTGAAGAAAGCCATCCACCATGGTGATTCAGGCCAGAGTGACCACTGGGCAAGCAGCATGGAAAACATCTCCACTCTTCACCTCCCTTGCTTTTTTTTTGAGACATCTCTCTTAACTCCTAAATTTCCAGGCTGGCTGGGCTCAAGTCATTTGAAATTTCAAGTCATTTGAAATCCTCCTGCCTCAGCTTCCCAGAGTGCTGAGTTTCCAATGTGCCATTCACTTCCCATTCTCTTGTTTAAAGACAAGAAAGCAGAGGCTCAGAGACTTGCAGGGCCTTCCCCTAAGTCGTACAGCAGCTCAATTCCATAGCAGTGCTATGGCCACTCACTGTTCAGGAAGCCAAAGCCTCAGAAGCCCCTGGGAAGGGCCCGGTGGGCTGAGAAACCCCGCAGGGGCTTCACTTCCGGCTTTACTCCACCCCACCTGCACCCCCAGCAGCAGCCACCCTTGATCCTGGTCCTGCAGCCTCAGGGCACCAAGCAGCAATTCCTGGAAAGGCTGCCTCAGAATCGAAGACTCCACAGCCAGCACTGCTGCATCCTGCCGAGGTCAGGCCGGCAGCTCCAGGCCCTTCTGGGATCACTCCAATTTCCAGGAAAAATGCAAAACATTTGAAGAACAAATGGTGAATTCCTCACAAACCCTTCTCCTGAGCCTAGAAAGGGGGTCAGCTGGTGGAGAGGCCACAGCCTCCTGGAGCCAACAGCCTGCAGCCATGACAGTCCCGGGGCCGGGGCCAGGTGGACACCTGCAGGGAGCTGCAGGACTCTGGGTTCTGCACCGCTGGCCACCATCACCCACACCCTTTCCTCCTGTGTGCCTGCCGCCTCCACTGACCTGGAGGCTGGGCTGGCAGCTGTCGATGGCTCCTTCCGGGGTTGACCTCTGAGATCCTGGACTTTCATCCCCAGCGTGACAAGTGATTCAAGGACATACACAGGTCTGTCTCGAACACAGCGCTTGCAAGGCCTGGTGGAGCAGCTGCTAGGTTAGCACCAGCCAGGCCTAGGGCCTCCCCAGGCAAGCCAGAGGGTGACCAGAGCAGCCTGGCCAAGGCCAGGAGCTGCAGCCCTGCAGTGTGGCTTGCGGTGCCAAGAGGACCGTCCCTCTGCAGCGCCAGAGAGGGGCAGGCGTCCACAGGCTGCCTGCTCCTCCTGCCCAGCCTAGGATCACAGCCCCGCCCCACCCAAGTGCCAGCCAAGCCGACTGCTCCAGAGGGACCAACAAGGCCTTCTCAGGATGGGCACAGACTGGGCACAGGCAGCCCTTGTGGGGGACACTGGATCTCCTAGAAGAGGGGTGGTGGAGCCCAGAGCCTGGCCCCAGGGGGAACTGGCCATGCAGAGGGTCTTCCACCGCAAGGACCAGGAACGGCCAGGGCTTGGAGACAGTGGGAGGATGAGGAGAGGGGCAGGGACCATGTGTCCAAGGCCACCTCATCCCACAGACCTCAAGGCCATGGGCAGGAAGGACAGCTGGGCACACAGAGCTGGAGGCTGAGATCCAGGTTGGCTGTTCCTCCCAAAATGCCACCCTGCCATGCAGCAGCCAGGGGCTCTGTGGGAACAGGCAGTGGTTGGGCACCAGTCAGCTGACTGAGGACCCCTGTACTCTTGGGCACAGCACCTGCCTCCACACCCCCAGCCAGGTAGTTCCAAGGTCAGCCAGGGGCACCTGGAAACTGCTGTTCTGTGTGCACAGTTACTTAGACAAATGTACGTATCCAGCATAGCTGACTTCTGCTTTCAGAGTCTGTCACCCTGGTCACAAGCATTTAAGCTTAAAAAGTACAGTGATTTTAAAACACAATTATTAGTTAAATAATAAAACTGATGATAAAAAGATATAACATAAAAGCATGCTGTCAGGGCCTGCTGACCTGTACTTCTTGACCAGTCCCCTCGCATCCTACATCACTGTTACCTTGGATCTTGTCTCTGTGGCCAACCCAGCAGTAACCACACAACTCTCAAGGGAAGATATTCAAGGTAGTACGAACAGCAAGTACAAAGGTCCTGAGGTAGGAATAAGATGGGTTCCTGCCTCTTGGGGCTTGGTCTTCTGGAAAATGCTGACCAGCAGCAGGGCTGGGGCAGACAGTTCAGGGCCACCATCCTCAACTGCCCTGCCATGTGGTGGCCCCAAAAGCATTTGTTCACACGGTGAAGCCATCCCCATCCTCAGAGGCCAAGGCCTTATGCTCTGCATGTCCAGCCCCACCTGGCAAGAGGGATCTCTGTGCACTTGGATGGGTGCTGCTGGGAGCTAGGGCTGCTGGTGGGGGGAGTGACCACATGGGCCTTGGCAGGGCAGGGGCAAAGGCGTGGCTAGTGCCACCTGCCACTTCACCCATCCTCCTCTGGGGCAGCCCTCGGGGAGAACTCCAAGCCAACACCCTCCTGGGACCCCTCAGCTTTCTGCTGCTCAGCAGCAGGAGCCCTGGGGCTCAGGGCACCCCTGAGAGTGGGGACTCTGCCAGCCCACACCCTCAGCAGGTCCTTGAGGTTCACAGAGCAGCACAGTACAGTGGGGGAGCCCAGGGGAAAAAGCTGAGACAGGCCACCTTCCCAGGGGAGCAGTGGAACCAGCATGAGAGGAGCCGATGGAGGGATTCAGAGGCTCCCAGGGTGCAGGACATGGGCCCCCAGCACGAGGGTGGCACAGGTCGGCACCTACGCTGAGGCCTCTGTGGACATCATTCCCCGCTGGACCCTGGGCCCTCCAGCCCCGGTCTTTGACATTTCTTGCACCCACAGTTGGCCGTGGGATCCCTGATCAGTCCCGCTGACCATGCCAGCTGCAGGACCTGCCTCCAGTACCCACTGCCTGCTGTGGGCCCACCATCCGCTTCCCGGTCAGCAGCACCCTGTCACTGGGGAGGGGCCGGAGCCTAGGAACACAGAATGGGCTGCATCCCCTCCCCTAGCCTGGCCACCTCTGAGACTCAGACTCCCCGTGAAGGCACTCATGTGTCCCCTCACCCAGCTCCCAGTGCCCCAAGGGCAGGCCTGGGGCCTGCTGGTGTCCCGAGGTGAGGACACGGGGTAGGTGGTGGGCCAGGATGTGAGAGCGGAGGGGGCACAAAGAGGAGGGACACCGGGGCTGGTGTGCTGAGCAAGTGGGGTCATGCCACTGGGCACCCCAAAAAGCCCACTGAAGGAGGGAGCAGAGCGCTGGTCCACTGGCTGAGGATTCCGCTACTGGGACCACCAAGGGGGCTTCTGGAGTCCTCAGGAGCCCAGCAGCCCCATTCCATCTCAGTCCACTTCTGTAGGGGCCCAGTCACCACAGAGCAGAAAGAAATGAGCACGGGGGAGAAGACACCGCTGGAGTAACGGACCCACCAGGGCCAGCATCCCCCAGAAGATGCAAAAGCCAGGCATGGCAGGCAAAGGCAGGACGGCAGCCCGAGGAGCCCAGTCGCACCTGTCACCCATGGAGGTCTTCATGCTCCACCTCACTGTGGAAAGGCTCATGACCCACAGGCGAAGTCTCCCCAGGATGCTGTGCAGGTGACACAGGCAGGGCCATGTCCAGAGGTTTGGGCCAGGTGGTCTGCAGCAGGCTTGAGCGTCCTCAAGGGTCTGCGTGTCAAAACCAGGCCTCCTGTGAGATCTGTGGATGTCATCCAACTGTGGCCAGTGCCACCTCGGGGACTTGGTCAGCAACGTCACCCCAGGTGCGGCCCCTCAAGCCTGCACCCCAGAACCAAGTGAACCTCTTTGTGGCTCACCCAGCACTGTGCCATTAGCCATAGCAGCTGGAGTAGCTCACCAAGTTGTCAGGTCACGGCAACCGCAAGGAAACGGCAGCTGCAGGTGGGGAAGGCCATCTAAAAGGGCATGGCCACCAACTGCCCAGTCCCCTCTGAACCCCTCTGTGTACTGATGAAGCTACAAAACCCAGGTCAGGGGCAGAGGGGGATCCCAGAGCTTCTGCCACCCCACCCCTCAGCCCAGTGCTGAGTTCTCTGCCCGTCCTGGTGCTGGACCCCCTGAGCAGGGGCTCCCAACTGTCCCCTGGCAGTTCGCTGCCCCAGCAGGTGTGACCAGGGGAAGCTTCAGCCAGGGCAGCTCTGAGGGGTGGCCAGGGTAGGCAGAGGGGCATCAGCCCGAGGGGCTCCGGGGCCCCTCCCCTCTGCAGCCTCCTGTTGGAAGACATGGAGGTCTGCTGCACTCCCTAGACAGCTGGGGTGCAAGAAAGGGGAAGCCAGGAAGGAAGTGGCCTCACTCTCCCTCTCGCCAAGGATGCCTCCCTCCTCTGTGGGGACCACAGTCACCTGCAAGTCTCACCGGAATATTGTGCTCTCTTACAATTCACCCCACCCAGCCTCTGCTGGGCGATTCTGTAGCCCATCAACTTCTCTGTCCAAATCTGGGTTTTCATCTTGTTTTCCTGTCTGCTTCTCAGTTCTGGGGACTGAACCCAGGGCCTTTACACTGAACTGCACTCCAGACACGCACGCACGCACACACACACACACACACACACACACATGCACGCACACATGCACACACACATGCACAGCCCTTGGGAGGGTTTTTTGTTGGTGGTGGTGGTGTTTTGCTTTTTTGTTTTGTTTTGTTTTGTTTTTTGAGACAGGATCTAAGTCACTAAGCTGCCCAAGCTAGACTCAAATTGGGGATCTTCCTGCCTCAGCCTCTCACAGTATTGGGATGACAAAAGCAGATGCCACCACATCTGGCTGAGGACTTTCAAAGAAAAATCTCATTTCCTAGTGCCCTGGGCTTGGAAAATTGCTTTCCTTTTTCTTTTCAAAGGAGGGCTAGTTCTCAGAGAAATCCACCTTCTGGTCTTATGCGTCTGGGGCTGGACCAGCAATGTCACCTGTCACCCTGCCACTGCAAGGAAGGCCTAGAATTTGAATCTTTGTGTGGTGCAGTGTGAATCTGGGTTTCTTTTACACCAGGAAGAAGCAGGGAACAGATACTGGGCAGCTAGAATCTGCCCCTGAGACATAATGCCCAACCTCTCCCAGGGGCCACAGCCTGGGGACAAATCCACTGCACACCACAGGGAGGAAGAGTCTGATGGTCTGGGCGTGGCACTGAGGACTGCGCTGACCCCTGAGGGACGGGCAGGGAAGGTGGAGGTGACAGGAGCAGTGTGGAGAGGAGGACTCGGGATCAAGTCCTGGCTGAGTCACCACAGCCCGGGGCCTGGGGCTGCCGCACAGTTTATGGGGTCTAAAAGCTGTGGGCAACACTGAACAGAGCAGCCTCTGTCGTGGAACACTGAACAGAGCAGCCTCTGTCGTGGGAGTCTGGAGAAGGGAATCGAGAGCCTCACGGCCCAGGCAGCGGCCACGGAGAAACAGCCAAACAGGAGCCTGCACCCCTCCAGCCAGGGAGGGGACTTCCAGGGAGACGGCCCTGCGGCTGTGCCAATGCATGTGGGATGCATGAGGCCAACAGGTGGCTGAGGGGACACAGGGCTCAGCCAAAGCAACTCACACCGGGCACCGACAGCCCCCAGGCACTCGGACCACCCCCAGAGCAGACTGTGTGGCCCACACCTGCCTGCAAGGAGGAGGCCCTGGCCCTTCTGAAGACACCAGAGCCCAGAGTACCCTGGCCACTTCCCCGAGGCCACACAGCAAGGTCTGGTGCATCATCTGCATCTCCTGACACTGCCATCCTGAAGAGGAACAAGGACAAAGGATGCCCATCCACAGCCCCCTCCAGGGTGCAGGCAGAGCTACCCACTGAACAGAAAAGGAGACTGAGCCTGAGGAGGTAAGGCTGTGTGTCCCAGTCACACAGCCAGCCCACGATGGCAGGACTTGAACCCAGGCCTTCCTCGCCTCTGCCAGATTCCCACTGGTCCCTCGGAGCCCCTCCCCCTGCTGTTTTCCTGGCTCCCTCTCTGGGAAGAGAACATGCTGGAGTCTCTGTTTCCCTGGGAGAAATCCATTTTCAGAATCTGGAGGTGTTGAAATGTGTTCTTTTTTCCTCTCCAAAGAGCCCTTCTTGAGGACAGAGGTGCCCCCAGGATCCCGCCAAGGCCACCGGGCCCATGGGTGAAGCCTGCCACGGAGGACTGGCCCAGCAGAAGCCATGGGATAGGGTCTTCAGCAGTGGCCGTATCCAGGGACAAGGGCCGCTGTCGGCTCCGGGAGCTGGGAGCTCGGAACATGCTGGGCCCTGACCTGAAATGACCCTCGCCCTCCCTACCCAGCTGCCTGAGATCTCAGCACAGGAGACAGGCCACTGCTGCCTGGCCCAGGCTGCAGGACAGCCAGGCACAGAAGTCCACTACCGCACAGCCAGGAGCCGGAGGTCCCTGTGAGCACCTCCTAACACAAGCCGGTGGGTGCTGCTGCTCTGGACAGAGGGGGGATGAGGGAGGAGCTGGGGGTGGAGAGGGAGCCGGGAGAGGGAAGGCAAGTGGGAGGAAGAGGCCCCAGCCCATCCACCCCACTTCCTGGTCTCCCTGCAGCTCCCTGAGGGGCTCCCCAAGGGGCAGCGCCCTCCTGGCCCAGCTTTGCTGCAGCCCCCGCACCCCACCCACAGACAGCCCCTCCCAGCCCAGACCCAGGCCAGGCCAACCTGTCCCCAAGAGAGGCTTCTGCCCTAGGCCACAGTCAGGCAGCAGTCGGTCAGGAGACAGCTGGTCTTTGGGGTGTTACAGGCCCCGCCCACCACCATGGCACTGGACAACAGGCACTGTGCCCTGCCCACCCTGGAGGGATGGCGCTGGGGCCTCCCCACACCTCCTAGTACTGGTGTGCAGGTGGGTTCAGTCCACTGGCTCTCCTGGCCACACCTCACCGCCTCCAGGAGAAGGGTCCCCCACCCTGGTGGACCTGGGCCCTGTCTCCATGGCAACAGGAGTCCCCGGAAGATCCAGGGACACCAAGGGTGGGCTGGGCTAGAGAGAGAGGCTGGCAGTGCCAAATCCCTACCTCAGCTCAGGGCACACAGGTGACACCACAGTCACATGACCCACCTCTGGGAGCCTCATTCAGCCTGACCCCTACCTCCACCTCACAGGACCCCTCCCAGCCCCTCACCCACCCCGTGGGAACCTGACACACCCAGCTGTTCCACTCTGGGTCTCACCATGCCACAGTTATGCCAGGTCCCTGTAGGCAGGGCTTTGTACTCAGCCACCGGCATGGTCACCTTGTGCTACTGACAATGGATCAGAACCACCTCCTGGAAGGGTCATCCCTGGCTCTCAAGCCCCAGCTCCTCCTGACTCCTCAATCAGTGCTCTGAGGGCCTCATCCAGACACATCCATGCCAGCATGGGATTCCAGCACCCCCTGGCCCAGTGCTGAGCCCCCAGGACAGTGGCTGTCTGGTCTTCAGAAGAGTGAAAGCACTCTGGCTGCTGGACGGACAGAGGGGTAGGCGGCAGTACCGACATACAGG